TAACCAACTGAAACCAAACACAAGCTTCAAAAGTTGAATACCTAACAAGAAGCTTTCTTTAGTTATTGCACAGTGCTGTATGACCCTTAAGGGTTTGGTGCTTAGTTTTAATTATAAACCTGTGCTGTATGACCCTTGTAGGTTTAGCGCTTCTTTTTTTATAATAATAATACGTATTAATGTGATTATAATCTAGGTACCCCTCAAGAAAGGTTCCTTGATGCTGGTGAGGAGCTCTGTGCTCCAGTTTCCTGAATACCTTCCATCCCCCCCCCCCACAGGTGCTGTATAATCCCTTCCCCCTTGATTATAATAATATAATCTAGGTATTGTAGAGATCAAAATTCCAAAATCTGCCAGCACTTTAAGCTTCTCAGGAGTTGCTTTTTCTGTTATTAGTGTTGCAGATTTGAAGCAAATGATATGCAATCACAAATGAGTGCATGAAATTTAGGATGTCCCTCGCTTTGTGGGTTTGTGGGAGTTCGCTTTATGCGAATATGCTGTTTTGCACTGTTTTAATGAAATAATTTCATTAACACAATATACATTCTCCACATGTGAACTGCACAGTTGGCAGACACACTTGGCTACTCACTGATACCTTGTGAAGAAACAACAAGACATATTCTATGAGAACTGTCAGGTCATACTTAGTTTACAATATTGTAATAGATATATCTTAATAGACAGGCAGGGTTCACTTCCATCATCTACATTGCCTTAACACACTCGGTCTGATGACCTTGCTGAAAGTTCCATCTTTGACACACTCTTGACATTTTAACAAACTAACTCTCTCCAGGTAAACTCCAGTGGGTTTGAGTTAGACCTGCCTAGCTTGGGCCAGCAAGCTTGCTACAGTGCTCCTTAATTATGTCATTACAAAGTGTAAGTGTGTTTCTTTAATACAGTTAAACAGATTTAGGTAACTGCAATTATCAGACATCGCGACGAGTAAATTACGTCGAATACCCCCCCCCCCCTTTCCCCGAAAAAAAATAATGAAAAGGTCAGACACAGTTACTTATTTCTATTGGGGACCAAGGAAAGTAATTATGGAGATCCGGTCCTTACATAAGATAAGATAAGATTTTGTTCGGATTTTTAACCCCGGAGGGTTAGCCACCCAGGATAACCCAAGAAAGTCAGTGCGTCATCGAGGACTGTCTAACTTATTTCCATTGGGGTCCATAATCTTGTCCCCCAGGATGCGACCCACACCAGTCGACTAACACCCAGGTACCTATTTGCTGCTAGGTGAACAGGACAATAGGTGTAAGGAAATGTGTCGAAATGTTTCCACCCGCCGGGAATCGAACCCGAGCCCTCCGTGTGTGAAGCGGGAGCTTTAGCCACCAGGCCACCGGGCCACCTACCTGAGTAAAGATAATTTATTCCTGATAACATCCAGGATTAGATAGGTTTTGTAAATGAACATGGCATTATAGAAATGTACTATTTGTAAAGACATAAATATGTCTAGCTCTGTATTACGTAGTCTGTAAGCATTAGGATTAGTGGCTTTCATTGTAACTATCAACACGTTTTATATGTATTCATATTATAACTTATGCAAAGAAATAAAATTGTTAATTTTGTTTACTCCGCCAGTGGTAGATATGGAGCTGAACGCTTCTTTGTTTATACTAATACATCTTTTGATAAAATTAAAAATCATGTAATATCTTAAATTTTCTACAAGTACAAAGTATACAGGTCTGGCTGACGTCGATGACATACTGTTATATAGAAATCTGCTTGTTATGCAGAGCATTTCGGGCAAATTAGGTCAATGAGTCCCAGGATGCCGAACCCATACCAGTCAACTAACACCCAGGTACCTATTTATACTGATGGGATAGAACGACAAAGACACCGTGTAAAAAGAACACGGTCCAATGTTTCAACCCTCACCGGTAACAACGCGGACTTTCCGCAGTGTGAAAGCGAAGCTGCAACCATCCGGCCACGTGGCCCTTATTGCCCCTTTGTTATTGCTTTTTTATTGTATTTATTTTTTTGCTGTTTGTCTTTGTATTTTTATGCCTGTTATTATTGTTGCTGTTTTGTTGTTTTTGTTAATGCAGTAATTTGTTGTTGTTGTTTGTAGCGTTATTGTTTTGTTGTTTATGGTTGTTACGTGTTTGTATTATATTATGTGCTGTTGATGTGCGCCTGTATATTGTTTTGTTTATGCTGTCATTCCTTTTTTTTTTCCTGACTTTGCAATTTATATTCTGGTATGGAAAAACAGAGTAACTCCTCTAGGGCTTTATATTATATATATATATATATATATATATATATATATATAAAGTATATATATATATATATATATATATATATATATAATATATATAATAATTTATAGAAGGGTCCCACCTCTGGTGTAAATTGTGAACCCATAGCCCTCGTAGAAGTGGATAAAAAGGCTTCAAGGAAGAAATTGGGATTTCTTCCTGAAGCCATTTGAATATTCCACTCCCGCTACCACCCCCATCTTTTAAAAAACTATTTTTTTTTTAACCAATAGGAAATTTTTTACATAATATTGTACAGAAGATTTAAGAGATACATTGTTGAAAATAAAGGGTGCATATACGGTTACAAGTTGTTTACGTGTGTAATCACCGATTATAAGCGAAAATCTCATCCAGCTCCTCAGATCTGGGGCGTGTCCCAAAATGCAGAAAGCATTACCCCATTGAACAGCCGCACTGAGCCTCTGAACAGAAAACTAGCTGGGCCCTGGGATCCCTAGTTACCTCTGATGAGTCTTAGTTTCCCAGCTCCTTTAAGGAAATTAGGTGTCACTCATTCTCCTAACATAAAGACCTACCCAAATGCTCTCATTACTCAAACCCACACTATTTGCTGATGACACAACATACGTCTTCTCCCACCCGAGCCCAGTCCGCTAGCCAATACTGTAAATACCGAATTACAGAAATATCTACCTGGTTGAGTAACTTAACCAAACTTACACTTAAACATTGACAAAACCTACTTCACTCAGTTTTGGTAACAGAGCTACAGATGTCCCTCTTAACATAATGATAAACGGATCACCTATCACCAAGCTAACAGAGGGAAAATTCTTAGGAATCCACCTTGATAATAGACTTCAAATTCATACCCATTATACAACACATTTCTAAGAAAATTTCCAAGACTGTAGGCATACTATCGATGATACGGTACATTGCTCCACAGTCAGCCCCTCCTGGCCCTATATCACTCTCTTATTTACCCCTAATCTCACCTATGGAATATGTGCATGGGGCTTCAACAACAAGTAACCATCTCAGACCACGAATTACTACCAACAAAAGGCTGCAGTTAGAATGATAACAAGATTCTCACTACAGCAGCACCACTCCACCAATATTCATACACTCAACCTACTCCACCATACAAAACATCATACTTATACTGCACCTATCACATACATAGAACACTCAACTCTGAATTAACCCTCCCCTCAAACATCTCCTTTGCCCACCTCCACAGACACATGACCCATAAGAACACAAGGCACATCACTCTTTGATATTCCTCGTGTCCCATCTCACGCTTATGCAAAAACTCAAATGCACTTAAAAGGCCTAAAAATCTGGATTCATTACTCTGGTTAATATAAAAGAAACACTACCTGTTTATAAATTCAATCTCCTTCTCAAAATCCACTTACTCACCCAAAACCAAATAAATACTGAATAACTGAAACCTGATAATTGTATATCTTAAATGATTCTCACAATAAATATCACAGAAATGTTAAACAAAAAACCCAATCTAAACGTTTATTTATTTTTTAAATTCATCTACTAACAATAAATACTTCCATTCTACTGAATTTAACAACAATGCAGTAACCATATGAAACCTGTCTTTGTCATAACACACTTGTGCTCTTTAAAGAAATCAGTTTACATTAATGTTTTTCACTGATTATCATCATTGCTTAGTTAACTTAAGTTTAATTTTTAAGCCAGCCGTAATGCCTATGCATAGTATAAGTGGCTTTGGCAGCTGCCTCTTATCTGTATTTTTTTTTTTTTTTTTGTACCTCTGTAAGTGTGCTCAAATTATTAAATAAATAAATGAGTCCAAGGTCTCAGAGCCTAGGGACCAACATATAATGATGGGCAAGTTCTCCATATATATATAATATATATAAATATAATATATGATATAACTATATAGTATATATATAAATATATATATATATATATATATATATAAATATATATATATATATAAATAAAATATATATATAATATATATATATAATATATATATATATAAATATATAATATATAAATAATATATATATATTAAAATATATATATATATATAAAATATATATATATAATATAACGTGCCGAATAGATAAAATCTGCATTTGGCTTAAATAGCAACGCTACTTCTTGCGCATAAGAGGCAAAAAATCGAAAAAAACAAAATTTGTGTATGCAGTAATTTCGCCAAAAGTCATTCTGAATGTAACGAAAAAAAAAATATTTCATTTTGTTTGTTTGTTACTGAATTATTGTAAACTTTTATAAAATATATTTAATTGGATTAGGCTAAATTAAATTGCGCTTGTTATAATAAGTTTAGTCAAGTTTTCTAAGGTTCTTTTGGTACAAAATTATTAATTTTTATGTTAACATAAATGCAAAAAATATATCTTTAAAGGTATAAGAGAAAATTTTAGAAAGGACTTAATTTTAAATGAGTTCTTGATAATTGACCAGTTTTACCTATTCGGCACGACATATATATCTGTCTGTGTCTGAAGGACCCTCCTTTGACTGGTATATATATGCAAAATCATCGCATGTTTCCCAGAATTGATTGCATATACAATTTATTTTAAAAAAAATTTATAAATAACTATACATACGACATATAACGCCATATATATATTATATACAATAATAATAATGTAATTATAAAATAAATAATTGTTATGTAGAGGGGTGTGGTGTAGTGTTTATGTTAGTCCTGAATATAGTGAGGGAGGTGATGGAGCAACTGGTAACTGATCAACACGGGTAAATCCTGTGACTTATTTTTTTTTCTCATTTATTGGCGTTACTTGAGCTTTTATTTTATCAGTTTTGAGGCGATTTATTCCTTTGCTTGTGTAGTGTGGCGTCTGGGTGGCCTGCTAGGTGTGGATTGCGACTCTCTTGCAAAAATTACCACTACGAGCAGCAGTGATGGAGCTGCTGCTGTTGGCATTATTAACCCGTATTGTAATTATAATCATAAGTAAATGCTAAACCCATGAGGGTCATACGTTATTAATCCGCAGGGTTATTAATGTATGACTAACCCAGGGTTGGTAACCCAGAGTTGCTAACCCAAAGTTGCTAACCCAAAGTTGACAACCCAGGGTTGCTAACCCAAAGTTGCTAACCAGCAAAGTTGCTAACCCAGAGGGGGGGGGGTGGGGGGGGGGGAGGGGGTTGCTAACCCAAGTTGCATAACCCAAAGTTTGCTAACACCAGGGTTGCTACCCAAAGTTTGCAACCTAAGTTAGCTAACCCAGGGTTTTCTAACCCAAAGTTTGCTAACCCAAAGTTGCTAACCCCGAACCCCAAGTTAACTAACCTGGATGCTAACCTCAAAGTTGCTAACGCCAGAATAGTAATCTTGGTTAACTAACCCCAAGGTAACTAACCTAGGGTAACAAACCTGTTACTACCCAGGTAACCCAATAATAATCAATATTATTATACTGGAAAGGGGTAGAAGCATATTAATGTTATTGCTTTTTTTTCTTTGAGCATACAGATGTGTTGTATGACCCTTGTGGGTTTAGTTAGTGCTTAGGATTTTGATTTATTAAAATAATGAAGAATACAGATAATTGTAGATACAAAGTAAAATAAAGGGACAAAAGAAAGCCACTAATTATGCAATGCATTTGTTAACTAATCATTAGGCTTGCCCCCCCCCCCAAAAATACTTTAAGAATTAACATAGCACCATGTTAAGACCTCTTGTAATAGTTAAATACAATTATAAGATCAGTAAGAAAGGCATCTAGTGACACACAGTTATAAAACTTTTTCTTTCTTTTCAACATTCTGGTCGTCTCAAACCGAGGCAAGGTAATTCAAAAAGGAAAGACTCGCCATCATTCAACACTTTCACCATCATTCACACATAATCGGTCTTTGCAGAGGCACACAGATATAACAGTTTCCCTGAATCCCTTCACAAAATATTACCCTGCTCACACTCCAACAGCTTCTCAAGTCTCAAAAACCATTGATCTCCATTCACACCTATCTAATATGCTCATATATGCATACTGTATGTCCAAGCCCCTTGCACACAAAACCTCTTATACCCCCTCCCTCCATCCTTTCCTAGGACATCCCCAACCCCTCAGTGATCTTCAGTTTTATGGTGTGATTGAATAGAGATAGTGAAATTACAGCAAGTTACTTAAATTATAAAGTAAGGTAAACTGTATTTCTATAAAGAATGGTTTACAGTGAGTACAGAAAATGTGATATAAGGTTAGGTAATGTTTGTCAAGAAACAGGACATGTGTTTCCTGACACAAGTCTTAGTCATTTGATGACCAGCCTATAGCTTTTTGGTCATTTGTCCAAGGCCTTCCGCTGGCTTAACAACCTCCCCCTTCAAAAATTATGTTTATGGTTACGTATAACCATGAACACAATGTGATATACTTTATAGAAAGTCTTTGGTTATGCAGAGCATTTCTGGCATTCATAAAATAGCTTACATCTATGTACTTGTATTATATAGAGTAATACCTTACTGTCTAAAAAAATACTGTACTATGCAACACCATACTGATCAAGGTATTATAATGTGTTTTAATGTAACGAGCTCCAACAATACAATTAAATGCGTTGGATCACAAAAATATTTAGCCCTTTGCTTAGTACAAATCAGTGCACAGGAAACCCTTGCACACGCTTGCAATTAAAGAAATTACAAAAGATTAAAATGAAATAATAGTAGTACAAAAGATTTTTATTACGTTTGTAAATAAACAATGTACCATACATGTGGTAAAGAAAAAGGTCATTTTATTTTGAAAAGTAATTGAATAACGTAGTTTGCACAGTTTTTTTTTCTTTTTATGAGCATACATAACTTTATAGCTTTGAATATCATTTTGTAATGCCTGCCTAACTCTAATGCCTCATTCAATGTTTGGATCCACATTCATTATGAAGTCACAAGCATCCTCTACAACTTCACTACTTGGAGTCTGGAGCGATACTGATGTTTGCATCACACTAGTCTGGTACATAGCAGCAGTCCAATATCGGTGCGTAATGCAGTTAAATAAAATTTATATTATTAAATTTTTAAATTATATTAGTATATCAAAACCCATACTGCTCAAAACCATACTATTCAAGGTTGTACTGTAACTAAATAGTGGAATTTTTGGAACAACAATTTGTTAGGCATTTTAGTTACACAACAGACTTTAACCTTTGTGAAGGTTGTTAATGGTCTAATACAAATACAGATATTAATCTGAATTTCAGTAAGCACAGCATATACAACAAATCAAGGGCCCAAAGAATGCACAGCTCAAGCAATGCTTAACATATACTATACCTAAAATTAACTTAGTTAATTCATAATTAAAAATATCAGAAGATATAATTAAGTATAGTGTAGTGAGCGGTATTCGTTACTTTAATTACAATGCAAATATTATGGGACAATATATGCTACTAATTATACATGAGAATTGAAGGAAAGATGGAAGAACAGGGACAGAATTGGATGAAAACTTTTTTTTTTTTTTTTTTTTTTTTTTTTTTTTTTTTTTGACATAGCATATTGCTTTAGAATCTTCAGACAGGGAGTTTCAGATTTTAGGTAATAGTTTCATGGTAGGGTTTGTATTAGAATTGATTGTCATATATATAGAGTAAGAATAGTAGTCTGAGTGCATATTATGTACATTTCCCAAAATGCTCTGTATATAAAGGGGTTTTTCTACATGCACACGTAAATGTCACCTACCTCTGTACATGTACATGTATTTATTTAATGCACATTATAAATATAAGTACATGTATTCATTAGCTGAAGTAACAAATTACATATACACGTACAGTGGAACCTTGGTTTTCGTGATTAATCCGTTTGAAAAAGTCTGACAAAAACTGAATTGTACGAAAATTGAAGCGCCTGCCTTAAACAGCTCTGTTTAAGGCAGGTGAAATTGCAGACCTGAAAAGCGTGCAGAGACCCTTCACTGCTTGCATTAACTCAGTTAAACACCTGAATTACTGGGAACATTATAAGTCCCTTGATCTGTACTCTTTGGAACATAGGCAAGAGGGGTACATTATAATCTACACCTGGAAAATTCTAGAATGATAAGTTCCAAATCTGCTCGCATGAATCGTTTCCCATGAAAGTAAGAAGCTTACCAGATGTTGCAAAATACTCCTAATAAAAAGCAGTGATGCAGTGAGTACATTAAGGGAAAATTCAGTGTCAAGAAACCATAAATTTTCACTGTCCTCCTCCCCTCCAGGGAGGTTCCTTGATGCTGGTGAGGGGCTCTTGATCGAGGGAATTGGATCTGTGCTCCAGTTCCCTGAATTGAGCCTGAATGCCTACCATCCCCCCCCCCCCCACTTGTGCTGTATAATCCTGGTTTAGCGGTTCCCCATGATTATACTAATAATAATTCACTGCCCTCCCTGCATACATAAGGGGGATTACCAACAGACCCCTGGCTGTATTCAAGAAGGTACTGAACAAGTTTCTCAACTCATTGCCTGATCAGCCAAACTGTGGTCTCTACATTGGATTTAATGTAGCTAGCACTGATAGCCTGGTTGATCAGGTCACTAGGACCCATTATCAACCACCTTCCATGGCCTATTTGGAACAGACCATGTGGTGTTGTCCTCAGAACACAACTCCAGTAGAACTCCACATACTGTAGGCTAATTTAAATAACTCAAACAATTCAGTAATAAAAAATCCAGAAGTTGGTAATGCAGTGCAGACTTCATGACTCCAAAAGTACTTAAATTTTTAAGTATAAAGCTCTCAAATGTTACAGTTCTGCATTAACCCCTAATAATTACAGTCATTTACAGCGGGATGGTGCGTGTCATCACCG